TATGACTTCTTGGATGAGTCGTCGTTGTGCTCTTGGGAGTGATTTTGGTTGGCCGGCAACTCCTGGGAAGGTTCACCACTGTTCCAAGTTTTCTCAATTTGTGGATAATGGCTCTAACAGTGGTTCGCTGCAGTCCCAAAGCCTTAGAAATGGCTTTATAATCCTTTCCAGACTGATACATGTCAACTGTTTTGATTCTCATCTGTTCTTGAATTTCTTTAGATCGCGGCATGAAGTGTTGCTCTTTAAGCATGCTTCACGTTGTCAGACAGGTTCTATTTAAGAGATTTCTTGATTCAACAGGTCTGGCAGTAATCAGGCCTGGGTGTGGCTAGTGAAATTTAACTCAGCTTTCTAAAATAATGTGGTTAATTGCAGTTCTTTCATGATTTAACAGGAGGGGGCAATTAATTTTTCACATAGGGCCACGTAAGTTTGGACAGCTTTTTTCCCTTAATAAATGAAATCGTCATTTAAAAACTGCATTTTGTATTTACTTGCATTGTCTTTGTGTAATAAAATTAGTTTTGACTCATTTAGACTCAAGAGTCAAATGTCGCCCATGCTGTTATGTATAGTTGTGCATAGAAGACTGCAAACTTTTTGACGGGCTAGAGGTAGCCTAAATTAACTTAATGAGTCTTGCTCTCCCCAACAGATGAGGCTGAATGCTATGGGTCAGATACGACCCAGTGTGTCCAACGGTCCTATAGCCAACCCCTCACTGCCTATGAACTCTAATTCCACATCCTCCTCTCACCATCCACACTTTGCTCTTTTCTGCACACCATCCGCCCACTCACGATGCGCTGCTCAGCCAATAGCCAACGGACCTGTCCCTGCAAGCCCCACCCCATGCACGGCTGGAACCTTGGGTAACACAGATGCCGTCTCTGTGGGCAATAATCACCTCCCAGGATCGGGGAGCAACGGAAACGTGCCTTACTTGCAGCAAAACACACTACCTCAAAACTGCACAACCCCCACCAGCAGCAGCATGGATGATGAACCGTGGAAAAGCCAACACATCAACTCCACTCAGGTGAGATTAAATGTCCTGGTCGATATGATACGATTGTAATTATCATGTAATGTATGATAAGAAAGTTCTATAGGGTCGATCTGTGTCAAATCAACCACATTTCAGAAACATCTCTAGCTCAAAATTTTAAAAGATAAACATGGTGATGAAAGCCAAAATATTAAATGTCATGGATAAATATTTACCGAGTAGTCCACTGTTTTGTAGAAAGGGTTCAAAATTACAATCTTTACCTGAGATTTGGAGCCAAATTACAGTGGGGTACAAAGGAGTTTAGAAAGATGCATTCAGCATGAAAAATGGATATTCATCTTGATTTTCTGCTTGTCTATTGTGTTTCTCTAGTTTTAAATTCTTAAGGTAGAATATAAGAATAACAATTTCACTGCTTAACCCTGCATTCCTTACACTTTATCTTTATTGCAGGGGCTTCAGAAGAGTCCAGGTTCATATTCAGCAGGTCCCAATGGCGAGCAGCCTTCCTCTTCCGCTGAGACGTCCCAGCCTACCCCGGCAGCCGGCACTGGCGTTCCAAATCAGGTCGGACCTTCGGCCACAGCCAGCGGCACGTTAGCGCAAGAGGCCAGTCACAATCATCTCCGCTCCTCTAGCTCCCCTCACTCTGCTACCTCAGGTGGACAGCAAGGCATGGTGCACACCAAAGAGAGAAAGCCTTCAGGAAACGGGCATTCCGCAGGGACGCCTAACAGCACTGCCACTGCAGAAGGACTGCCTAATCACGTCCATCATGGCCAGACAAACGCTGCTGGGGCGAAACCCTGCTCACCAGCTGTACTTAGTTCAGACAATCCTCAGCTCTCTGCCTTGTTGATTGGAAAAGCCAATGATAGTAATAAAAGTAATGGTGGTGGGTTGACTGCTGCCGGCACAAAGGTTAACAACATTCTCCCAAGTCTGCACCAGGGGCTAAAGGCGCAGGGAAACTCGGTGGCCTCCTCCCCGTGTTCTGCCATGTCCACGGCCACACCCTCACCCAAATCAGCAGACCATCACAGCACTCAGAACAGTGTTAACAGCCTTAACAGCCCCATACTCAATGGCAAAGGTCTGGAGTACTCTCAGAGCCCCTTGAAGGTGGCATCTCCGCTGGTTTGTCATAAACCCAAGCCTCACTCGTTCACCCCGTGGTCTTCTGTCTCCATCTACCCCAGCTCCAGTGACGTGCTCAAAGCATGCAGGTAAGTTACTCATTCCTGTATCCATTTGGGCCTAGTTGTGCAGAATTCCAAACAGATTTCTTGACTGGTTTTGTGCTGATTTTTTGGTTATGGTTATACTAAGCCACCTTGACAGGATTATAAGCTTTTTTTATGTGTGTGCGCGCGCATATAAATTATATAGCTAGACCATATTATCACCTTTTCTGCTATAATTCAAATCCATCCTAGTTGATTTGGTTTAAATCTGCTGTAAAATGGTTTAGGCTGATGATTTGATGTATTGTTTTGATTTGTGCTAGAAAGAGATTTGCAATGGTGAACTGTTAATTATTTGGAAGGTAGTTACATGTTGATATTGGAAGATAAATACTTGTTGATTAGTTATATTTTTTTACAATATATTTTGTCATTGTATAAGCATTGATGTAAAACATCATGGGATGTCTACTAACTATGTTAGGGGTGTTTCTGTTAAATATACAGCTGTGTGTGGTTCTCTTCAAGATGGTCTTTGATTGCTTTCAATACACTGCCAATATAGTAGTTATATATGTACACTACTGTTTAAAAGTTTGTTTAACAGTATGTTTTTTGGTTTGCAAAAATTTATACTTTTATTCAGTGAGGATGCACTAAATTGAGCAAAAGTAACAGTAAAGACATAATTTTTCAAAAGTTTCTATTTGAACGTTCTTTTGAACTTACTATTCAAAGAATCTTGGAGAAAAAAAGTGTATCAAGGTTTCCACAGAAATATTATGCAACGCAACAGTTTTCAAAATTGATGATTATTAAAACGGTTTTGTGACACTAAATACATTAAAACAACAGTATTTCACAATATTAATGCTTTTATTGTATTTTTGATCAAATAAATGTAGCCTTGGTGAGCATAAGATTAGAGGTCGACCGATGTGGGTTTTTCATTGGCCGATGCGATATTTAGAAATCAGGGCGGCCGATATATGGTGCCGATTTTTTTTGCCCGATATGTTTGGCCGATGTTCTTTTTCTTTTTTTCCCCATTCATCTCATAAAAGTGAGTTTGAGCAAATGATTATTGCAGGGTACAAGATAGTAATAGTAGTAGTAGCTAGGGATGGGTCACGATTTTCGAATATTCGATTAGTTGATTTAATTATTGAATATCGAATAGGTTGTGCGATTTATTGTCTTAAAAAATGTCCCCATGTTTTCCGAGCTGATGCAGTGGTCACGCGTTTATATGGCGCTACCAATAACGCACCTAAAAGCTGTCAAAGACAACAGAAGAACACATTCTCACGCGCACGCTTAGGGCTGGACAATAATTCAATATCAATATGTATCGCGATATAATTTTATTCAATAACGGTGATATGATTTTTAAACACATTTCCGATATTTCGATATACATTACCAGAGTTTCCCATACATTGATTTATTTGTAATGTTTGACTTCGTTGAATAAGCATGAGCACTGCACATTTCACAATCATAGCACGGCGCGGGTGTTTTATATTAATGTATCTCTGAAGGGAACCGACTGTCTTCAGAATAGTTTAGATGCCATTTTTATCTGATAAAAGTAGCATTCATGAGCGGAGCTGCTTTGTTTACAGCTATTACTGGAGAAACCGTTAGTTCCACCGCTCTCACAGCGCCTCCTGCTGGCAGACAAGCTGTTTGCATTTTCAATAATAAACCCATTTCCAGCAACATGCTTTGGATCAAATAAATGCAGGCTTGGTGAGCAGAAGATAATTCTTTAAAAAACATTAAAAATCTTACTGTTCAAAAACTTTTGACAGGTATGTTACCCTATAGTTTGAAGTAAAAAATATTAATATTAATAAGGAGAGTCTGAGATTTATTTGACAGTGATTTCACATTTCTTAGTTTATATGAAGGTGAACATTTATTTATTTGTGCCATTTTTTCCCTAAAATACAGTATTATATAGTTTTATAGGAGTAGGTTTCATAGAGTTGGCAAATTAATTTTTCATAAGTTTGTAGGTACAGACATCTGTTGTGGCCGTTCTTGGCCGTTTTTATGAGGCTTTTTTAATAGTGTTCATATCGATATCGGAATTATATCGTATCGACCGAAATTAAGAAATATATCGTGATATAAATTTTGGCCATATCGTCCAGCCCTACGCGCACTGTAGACTTGCGTGGCATAAAAAAAGACTTGTGTAGCATATAACGGTTACAGTAATTTGAGATGATGTCAAATAAGAGCTCTGTGTGGACCACAAACACCCCCGACTGGGTTAGAGGTGTGGCTAAATCCGAATTCAGAAAGGCGCGGAAAACAAATAACGCATTCTACCGAGCCACTAAATGGACATGGTTAGCTGCTTTCTAGCGGTAGCCTGTTACATTATATTACATAACATTTCACTTACCACATAAACGGAGTAACGAGAGATGGCTGATAAGATGTTGGCGAATGATTTGCAGAACATGAGCACCACTGTCAACCATCTAATCTTGTAAAATGTGTGGTAAGTACTGCCGAGTGCTGCTCCGTACGTGTGATAGCGAATCTCAGAAGTGAAAGTAAAAAAACAAGCGCGCGTTCATACGTGATTTCAATCCCCCGCATATTAATAACGGCTCCCTGAGGCTGGAAGTTTATATACAGTATAATTACCCAATGATATAACTGTGACAGAAGATATTGAAGTATGTTTTTCCTCCCATCTCATATCTGTTCCCTTTGGGGTTCCATTTTTTTACAATGGAGATGTCCTAGCTTTATGAGCAGTTGATTTATGCTAATCGACAGACTGTTATGCTAATTAGTGCCGTCATTTGGTTATGTTTATTATATTAATATATTTCAGCACGTTACAATCATGATTGTATGATTCCTTGATTTAAGGTAGCCCATCTTCTGAATTAAACAGTTTATCATACAAATTGAAAGCTTGAATCCCGTCTTTCTCCCTCTCTCTGTGTTTGTGTGTGCACAGTGTTGCCAACTATTTTCAATGGAAAGTAGCTAAACCCTGCTTGAAAAGTAGCTAAACGACGTCATGCGTCATTAGCATATTGATGACGTCATCATGTCGTATTTGCATTCTGCATAATGTCGGTTTTAATATAAGTATATATATATATATATTAATATAAGCGCATGACAAGAATAAACGGTCAAAATTATTTTTCAAATTTAATACAAAGGAGAAGCTGGTAAGTGATTGGTCCGTGGCAACACAGCATGCACATGTGCCGTTCATTCACTGTCAGCTGCTGTGCAGTCACTGGAATGCGCTGCTTGTCTTTCAGTCACTCACTGAACAGAGCAGACGCTCAGAGGGGTGTGACTGCAGTGGGGAAGCAAGACCTCGTGCTTGCGCAGGACCGTACTGGTGACATTAAAGGCGCTTTTCCACTGCGTGGTACGACTCGGTTCGGCTCGGCACGCTTTGCGTTTCCACCAAATAGATATAACTGCAGACCGGAGATCTCCAAAATGGGGCGTGAACTCCAAAAGTGGGCAGAACCTCCAAAATGGGGCGGGGTGTCCTCTCGCAAAGACTTTCACCATTGGCTCTGGCTCCAGCCAATTGTTATTGACTTACATTTCAAAATAAAACTTTATAAATTAAACATTGTTTCTAGTTCATCTAAAATAAAATATGCTATACAAGTAAATATTCTCAGTGAGAGCAGAGCCCAAAGCTCGTGGCCAGTGCTGTTCGGACTGGAGTTTGAACCTCTTCTTAATGATATAAACGGGAATCACCCACGAGCTCTCCCGCCAGTCGTCCCAGCGCAGCGCAGGTGAAAGATTTTACTCTATAGCTTTGTTCTAAGCAGCGGGGGCGTCCCGGGGCTCGAAATTCGCAGGGTAGGAGGGGTTAGTGATGCTGGGTGTAACTAAAAAGGTGCCATTGTCCGGTGAGGTCCGGTTGGGGAGTTGCGGAACGATCTCGTATCGCATAATCTTATTAACTGTTTATCTCCTGAACTGCAACTTTCTTTACCGTGCTATTCAGCGCCAATCCCGCAGTGCAGTCAATTTCGCTGGTTAAGGTTAGGGTTAGGTGTGGGGTAGGTTTAGGAGTTAGCATTTTTTGTAGCATAGTGTAGGAAATCAACTTTAATTGACAACCAATAAAATCTTTAGAATCAGCTAGGGGGCAGAGTTTGCACTGAAGTGGATTGGGGGGAAAAGTGCGCATGTGTGTCATGTGCCTGTCTGTCAATGGGAGGAAGCCACGCCCTATTTTGGAGCTTCCACCCCGTTTTGGAGTTCCCGCCCCCATTTGGAGATCTCCAGGCTGCAGTTATACCCTTCTTGTTTCCACTGCAGTTCAGTACCGCTTTACAGTGGGTGGGATTATTCACATGTCGTTATAGTTGCGCCGCCTCTATTACCACGACTCCTAAAAATAAAACGTTTTCATTCCGCGTCGCCCTATCAAGCTCTCGCTGGATCCGCTCCTCTGCTATCAACGAGAGGAACGTCTGTTCTTCCACAACAGACAACAAAACTTTTTGGTTGTTAAAAAAAGGTGCGCTCGTTCAAAACGGTTGCGTTCGATCCTTCACTGGCTGTGCTGATTTAAATCTAATGGTTCTTTTGTGTTTGTGTCGCAAGTTCAGTGACGCAGGTAGTGACGATTCTCTCCGGCCAATCCGTGATCAGCAGAGTTTACACGTCATGTTTTGGTAACGGTATGGTTCACTTGGAACCCCAACCGAGGTGGTACTAAAACAAGTACCAGGTACTGTACCCAGTGGAAAAAAAGTTGCTAAATCTAGCGACAAAGTCGCCAAGTTGGCAGCACTGCATGCATGCAGGGGAGAGGGGTGCGATTTTCGAATAATAGTTGAATAATACCCAGCGATTTTCGAATATTATTTTTGCTTGGAATGCCCATCCCTAGTTGTAGCCCAATTTAGAGTAATAATACATGGCTCAAAACTTAAGCACCTTCTCAAAACAGTTCTGAAGCATGCTTTTTGTTTATGTTTGCTGACAGACACCAGTGTTTCCCACAGACTTCAAATTAATTCTCTGCCAGCAGGAGGTGCTTTGGGAGCTGGAGATATAGCGTTTTCCCCAGTAACGGCTGTAATCAAATAAGCGCTGCACTCACAAATGCTACTTTATCAGGCATTACAAGAAAGACGAATGACATTGAAATGACATCGAAGCTTCTTTTGACATCTAAGCTTTTCTGAAGACAGTCGGTTCTTTTCAAAGATACATTCATATAAAAAAACACCCGCGCTGCATTTTAATTTTGAAACGTGAAGCACTCATTTTATTCAACGAAGTATAAGCCTTTTGGAAAATCTATTTGTGGCGGTCAGTTTTGATATTGTGACTAGTCGCCACAAATTACTCAATGTATATGAAACACTGGACACTGCTATAAGTCAAATGGCCATAGTGATAACAAAAATAAAAGATTTCACACATTACTCAGCCTGCTGCTCATAACTGCTTAAGAGTGCACTGGCCACGAGCGTTGACATCGTGGATGCTATTGTCGGACCCACACACACATTTCATGAGGAAAGTTAACGTGCATGTTATAATCAGCCCAGAATTTTTGTCTGAATTGAACGCGTTCCTACTTTCACATGCAAATGACTTATGCACTTATGAATATGATAACTTTCCGGCATCAATTCTAGTAGGATAAAACGTAATTCCGCTTTCGAAATGGTCTGTTTTGCCCTGCCAATAGCTGAAGCTGTATATGAACAAGCCGCGGCTGCAGAGTGTGAGTTGCTCCATCTCTCACGCAGCCTCAGAGGGAGTTCCACAACAACGCTTAGCTGCCCACAGGTGCGCCTGCCTATAAATCGGCCTAATTTGCAGCACAATCGGCCGATGCCGTTTAATTAAAAAATGCCAAAAATCAATCAATCGGTCGACCTCTACATAAGAGGCATTCAAAATGTAATGCCTTACAGACCCTAAACTTTTACACAGCAGTGTATGCACAGGTTTATTTGTTTGTTTATTTATTGTAGTGTTCATTTCATATGCACAGATTTGTTTGTTTATTGGAGTGCTAATTTCATATGCATTTGTTAACCCATCTAGTGTCGAGTAGTAAGCAAAACTGATAAATCCATGCTTGCAAAAACATTTTTTATGAAAAAAGCTATTACATCATTAAAAATTGTAGCGAAGGTGCTTCACTACCCAACAACACCGAGACTAAGCTGAAGAAAATGTCAGGCAGAGTCAACTTCACAATCACCAAGGTTCCGCTTCCATACAAAAACCAGCATGACTACACTCCAGCCTCACAGCTGTAATTATTTAGAGAAATTTTAGTTACTGAACTTTTGACCCTCTGCTGTGTTGTTTAATGTGGGACATTTCCTCAGTGCTTCCAGTCTTATTACACTGTTTGTTTTGACTGGAAGGGCTGTTGATAGGGAAGGACATTGCCAGTATGTCTCTCCGTCTCTAGTGATCTGGCTTATGGCTCCACCTGTGTCTAGAAAGCAACAGCACATGTACTGACCCTCAATGTCCCTGTCATGTTGACGAGAATACATCAGAGATTACAGTCTTCACCGTAGCATGCAATCAATTAAAATTAGATTTGGATAATGTAAAATATGTTGTTATGTTATGTTATGTTTTGTGTTATGTACAGCCATTTGGACGTGCTAATGAATATCTCATGAAAATTATTTTGCAGAAACCTGGGGAAGAATGGTGTGTCCAGTAACAGCATCTTGCTAGACAAGTGTCCCCCTCCACGGTTACCACCTGCACCCTTCCCTCTTCTGCCAAAGGACAAGCTCAATCCTCCCACCCCTAGTATTTATGTGAGTAAAACATCACCATAATCTGACACGGTGCAGCCTGGTTGCTCTCTATCTACTCTTTCTAGTATTACTTGCCGTCATGCTATTTACAAGTCAAAATACAAGGCAAAAAGGTCCAGTTGCACCGATTAAAGGCATTTGTTGCCATGGAAAAGAAGTCAACTTTGTTTGACCTTAATTTTATGCTTGCACAATTACACCTTTTTTTTTTTTTTAAGTTCCAAGCTTTTATTTTCTCCAGTCAAATAAATCTACTTTTTAAATCCTTGGCAGTTGGAGAACAAGAGGGACGCTTTCTTTCCGCCGCTACACCAGTTCTGCACAAACGCAGCCAACCCCGCTACAGTGATCCGTGGCCTGGCTGGAGCACTCAAACTAGGTGAGAGTGCATTTCTGGGCGCTTGTGCACATTTGAGTGCTTGCCAAAGCACTGTGTATGTGTGAGCGTTGATCTGTGGTCTGTATTATTTTAATTGACCCTTTTATGGGTTTTGTTGCATATTAGCACCTTTGTTTAAATTATTATGTTGTAGTTTTGTGTCTGAGCATTCGCTCAGAAGACATTTAACTAGCAAAAAGTGAGTTTTGGCACACGTTTCAGGATGACTTGGGTGTAAATGACGACAGCACCATCTGCATGTTGAAAGTGTCATTACATGGGAGCATCCCCACCACAGAAAAAAACTGCAGCAGGGTTCATCTTAAATTTAGTTTTTATGTACCTGCTCTTCAAACCTCATAAATGACATGATGGAATATATACTTTTGCTTTCAGATGGCCTCTAATGGTCACCTTTCTACAGAAAGTAGAAGTACTTTGGGGGAAATTGACATAAAATTTTTAATTTAGATTCTGACTGATATTGTATGCTTGTTTATTGTGCTGTCATGGACTATCAATGTTAGACATTATATATTTCATCATTACTGTGTGGCAAGTTGCTGTTTGGGAAATTTTTGCCATTTGGACAAAATTTGTATACTGCCTGTCATGTCAAATGGCAAAAAAAGTGTTGTTTGTCCATATTTGTCTACATATGGCCTCAATCTATGTGTAAGGTTTTAAAATCTAAACCTCATATTCATGTTCGAGTTGTAGAAAAGGTGTGGCAGTTTGGTTGAATTCTTCAGTGTAATGATGGTTTATATGCAGGTGGCCTAATTTCGATTCCAGCACTTTTTTCCCCTCCCGTTGTCACTAGTTGCTACTTTAAAAATGCTGAATTCTCTTCATATCTTAAACATGCAAAAAAGGAATCCCCTTCTGAAATTATTATTATTGTTTAATAATTAAATATTTAATTAATACATTTATTTCTGTTTTTACCCTTTGTTTTCATCAGTTGACATTTTGGTGTCTTTCTCTTCATGTCAGACCTAGGATTGTTCTCTACCAAGACTCTGGTGGATGCCAACCCAGAGCACCTGGTGGAGGTGAGGACTCAGTTATCTCAGCCCACTGATGAGAACTGGGATGTGACGGGAAGCAGAAAGATGTGGTGTTTTGAGAGCAGTCGGTCTCACACCACCATCGCTAGATACGCTCAGTACCAGGCCTCGTCTTTCCAGGAATCATTGCGGGTGAGTCGTCATAATTCCCACATTAAGAAAAAAACATGCAATCCCAAGATGTCTGGAGATTAGCTTAATATTAATGGATTCAGTTTAATGGGGAAATTTTGTTTGGAACAAAAAAAAATTCAACTCTCTACTTAAAAATAATTGCCACAATTTTCCACTCTTGATTGTCCATTGGCTCTGGACTGGTGCCAGTATGTCAACAATCTACATTTCCTCCTCATGCCAAGAGTTTGGCTGTGTGTATGTTTTTGTGTGACCATCATGTCATTTGGGAGTTTTTTTTTTCCCACTAAGATTTTTGACAATGGTGCATTAGCACTTTCTGAAGCAATCCAAAAACCTGAAGCGTTTGCTCTCAGCCAGCTGTGTTGGAGATATAGGCAGACATTGAATGCTGTTGATACTGAGAAACGCTTCGTGATTGGTGCTTGGATTCTAATGGTTGCTTTTTTACATTTCTTTTAATGTAACAGGAGGAAAATGAAAAGAAAGGGCAGAAAGACCACTCAGACACAGAATCTGCTCCGTCAGAAAAGTAAGTCCATGTTCAATTAAAGTCTAAATGTTTGAAACGCTTTTGACAGAACCATAGTCTGTAACTGGAGCCTGCGTTTGTTTCAGTGTGGTCCACAGAAGAAGAGGTCCCTTTAAGCATATCAAGTTTGGGACCAACATTGACTTGTCAGATGAGAAAAAGTAAGTGCTCACTGGCTTTGTTCCCCTTCTAAGCAGTCAAGCGCAAACCATCTAATATGCCATACAAAGTTGCAGATCTGCTCGCGCATTAAAGGATTAGTTCACTCCAGAATTCAAATTTCCTGATACTTTACTCACCCCCATGTCATCCAAGATGTTAATGTCTTTCGTTCTTCAGTCAAAAAGAAATTAAGGTTTTTGAGGAAAATATTCCAGAACTTTTGTCCATATAGTGGAATTTAATGGTGGCCAATGGGTTGAAGGTCCAGAATGCAGTTTCATTGCACTCTGGGAATAAGACCCTTATTCATCTTAATTTCTTAATTTTGACTGAAGAAAGAAATACATTAGCATCTTGGATGACATGGGGGTGTGTAAATTCAAAGAATCAGGAAATCAGAAATGTTTAATTCTGGAGTGAACTAATCCTTTAAAGTCCCAAAGTCATTGTGAAGCTGTAACTTTTTTAATGAAAATGCATTTGCAGGCACAATATTTGGTTGTAAAATTGAAGATATATATTAGATATATTATTATTATTACAGTTTAACCCTCATGTTGTGTTCCTGTCGTTTTGAGCAACGTTAGATTTTCATTCTAGTTATTGTTAACACATTGGACTAAACTTACTGACTCTGAGGTGAATAAGCTTAAATCAATAAGGCCCATGACCAATCCTAATTGAAAGAAAACAAGAGATTTACAAGCATTTCTTTAAAAGGCCTGTCATTTTTGACCAGTGACCCTAAATTGGGTAAAGGATTTTCAGCACAAAAGTTAAAATAGGCTTTTTCTATTTTTAGACTTTTTAAAATTGAACATTATAGTTGTGGTAGTAGACTGGAGTGTTGAATAGAGCTTCCTAATGTGCTAATTTTGTCATTTAGAAAGGTTCTTATTACTTTCCTGGATAAATGAGAAATATTTCTTAGTAGAAAATGATTGCAGCTTCAAGAAGTGGGGAACAGCTACAGTGCTGTTTTCGGTTTCTGTAGTATCGATTACACATTTATTTATTGTAAATAGTTTTTTGTCGTCTATTTATAATAGAATTAGTTACAATAATTTGTAACAAATGTCTTTACAGTAATTCTTGATCAATTTGATGAATTCTAGGATAGTAGTCACCTTGCAGAATCTGAAATAACTAATCTTTTAAACACTTGTTTCTTTAATGGTCAAATGTCCTTTATAAAAGCATTAAGCCACTTGAGTTCATGAAATGTTTTTTACCATGGTGAAAAGGCACTCAGCTTCATGTTGTGCTTAATAACCTTTAACAGTAATAAAATCACTTTAATGCATGCCTCATGTGGTTTAGTGCTTCATCAAGATGCTCTAGAGAGTTTAATTGAAGTCTGAAGGAGGATTGCGAGTGTTAAATGGGCCTTTTCAGACCTCTTGCCGTGTTCAGACAGACTCCTAGAGTTATGAGGGAACAGGGGACATGTTCGGTCGCTGCATCTGACCTCTTCGCCCTGTGGTCTTGCAGATGGAAGCTGCAGCTGGCTGAGTTGAGTAAGCTGCCTGCCTTCGTGCGGGTGGTGTCTGCAGGGAATCTGCTCAGTCATGTGGGCCACACCATTCTCGGCATGAACACAGTCCAGCTCTATATGAAGGTCCCAGGCAGCAGGACACCAGGTCAGCTCATTGGCACGCAAGCACATGCACATCTCGCCGTGCTTTATCTAGACGTTTCTCAAATACAGACGTTACAGAATTACGTGAAAGTCGGGATGTTAATCAAAAATATTTATTTTTCCATTCAGGTCATCAAGAAAATAACAACTTCTGCTCTGTGAACATTAACATCGGCCCTGGAGATTGTGAATGGTTTGCTGTTCCTGAGTCGTACTGGGGTGTCATAAATGACTTCTGTGAAAAGTAAGCACAATCAAAAATGCTTTAATTCTGCTAAAACACCGTATTTTTTATGTTTTACCATAAGTTTAATGTAAAATATGAATTTAAGCTTGTTTGTAAGTCTATGTCTTACTGACTGACATATTATTTATGCAGGAATAATATAAATTACCTAATGGGCTCATGGTGGCCAAATCTAGAGGACTTGTATGAGGCCGATGTTCCAGTGTATCGCTTTATCCAGCGACCAGGTGATCTGGTCTGGCTCAATACAGGCACTGTGCATTGGGTTCAGGCTATTGGCTGGTGCAACAACATTGCCTGGAATGTAGGACCACTCACTGGTAAATATGTTGAGTTGCTTATTACTGATATTGGACCACCAGGGGCCAAAAGGGGCATATGATTGAAAATATGTGCACACCGTACGGACACTCTAGACCAGGGGTCTTTAACTAAAATGATGATGGACTAGTAATGAACTCTCTTCACCAGCCGAGGTCCGGACAATTGTATATAAAAACAGTATATGGTTTTTGCCAGACCAGGGTATCTGCAGGATATTTAAGCTTAAATTCAAGACTTTTAAAGACCTTTTCAAGACCTGCACACACACACACAAAAAAAAAAAATTAAAATGACTGTAAAAAGCATGATTTACAGTTCAGATGCAGGTTTTCACAAAAACAAAAGGTTTTATAAAATGATAAACTTGACATTTCAGCCTTTAAGATTCAAAGGTATCAATTCTTATAATTTAAACAAGTATTATTTATTAAATAACATATAAATATATTTTACAGTCTTAATTGTTTACATTTTTATAATACATTATCTTGTCGATCCACCAGTTCACATTTACAACGCTGTTTTTGCTGCTTAAAAACATAGGTTGATTTTCACATTGGTCTTTGACAACCGCAGACAAAATGGAAAGTCATTCTCTTCCAGCAGGTGGCGCTTTCGGAACGGCAGTACACAAAGCAGTGCAGCAGCTTACTTTGAAAGTGCAATGCTCATATTCAATGAATAGCCTTTTGAAGGCTCACAATTCTTGTCATTCTGTCCCCCTCCTGAAATCATAATTAAGACTTTCTTGTACCATTTAAGACTTTTTAAGGACCCGTCAACTTTCCTAAATTTTGAAAATGTCATTTATTTATTTCATTGTCAAAAGCCTTCACGGTCCGCATGGACCCATCTCGCAGTCTGGATTCGGACCAGAGTCCGCAAGTTACATGTTACTAAAGAAGGATACATATATTTAATTTTAAAAGGCCATGAATAAAACAACAAAATGCTGTCTTGGTATGCAGCTCACTTGGTTTTAAACAGTTATGCATATCAATTTTAAAGAAGGTGATATTTTATGGCCCAAGTAAAATATAATAATAAAAGTGAAACATAATATCAGTATATTTGATAAAGCCTTAAACCTTAAGTTAAAGTGTAGTTCATCTATTTGTTAACTGTTCAAAGCGTTTAATTCTTATTTGTTCTTCCTCAGCGCATCAGTACAAGTTAGCTGTGGAACGCTTTGAGTGGAACAAACTCCAGAGTGTCAAATCCATCGTTCCCATGATTCACCTCTCTTGGAACATGGCCAGGAACATCAAAGTGTCAGACCACAAACTCTTTGAGATGATCAAGTGAGTCTACTGCACCACATTTATGAATGTGGTTCTTTGAGAGGTCAAAATGATGAAGTTTAGCGTGACTGAAATTTCAAGCAGATTAATGGAAGTGTTAAATACGGTCTGTTCCTGCTCCTCAGGTATTGTTTGTTGAGGACACTAAAGCAGTGTCAGACGTTGAGGGAGGCGCTTATAGCTGCTGGAAAAGAGCTAGTTTGGCATGGAAGGACCAAGGATGAACCTGCTCACTACTGCAGCATCTGTGAGGTGTGTATTCTTCACCAAAGGTTCTTTATATTTGAATTGCTTGTAAGTTGTAAATAATAGCCAATAGTTTACACTCAAGAAAGAAATGTTTTGAAAATAATTGAAATTAATAAATGTTTTGACATTTGTTTGAAATTACATAATCGTCACATGAGGTGAAGACTTATGTCATATCAGTCGTCTAGAAAAAGCTCTTTTTAGATTACTCATAATGGATATATCAGGAAATGTTTAAAATGGACTTTGTCAACCCTAAAAAAATTATTAAAATAGTGCTGTCAAATGATTAATCGCAATTAAACGCATCCAAAATAAAAGATTGTTTACATAATATATATGTACGTGTACTCTGTATATTTATTATGTATGTATAAATATGCACACATACAGTATATATATTTAAAATATTTACATGTATATACATTTATATATTTGAAGAGTTTGGTTCCAAAACGCAATAAACGCCTTATATATATATATTTTTTTTTTTAAGTTTCCGCCAAAATCGGTATTGTATCTGGTCGGTATTGAAAAGTCAATTTTTAATTTTACACAAAAATGCGATATCCGCCGAGTTAATCTGTCATGTTTTCTCCCTTTTTTTTCCCAAACCGTGACAAATGCCAGTCTCCCTTTTCTGCAGAATGCGATATATCCGCTCAACCAATCACAGCACACCATTCCACGCACTGTAAACGGTAACAGCCAATCACAGTGCACCATTCCACGCACTCTAGACAGTAATGGCGGCGCTTTGAATACACCCGGCATCCTAGTTTTCCTCATCTATTTTGTACTTTGTGATCAACAAACAAACAAAAAAATTAGGGCTGCACGATAAATCGCATGTGACTGTCATGCGCGTCTCGTCAGTAAAGCCGGTTCTGTGATTAATAGTAAATCTCCATCACATGCTTTCAGATGGAGCGGCACTAAATACACAGAGCCATAGATCACTGCTATATCATACTGCGTTCATAATAACAGATGTCAGTGTAAGTGTTTTTATTTATGCCATTAATGTTTTTTTAATACAGCGTATAACACTAGTCAACTAAATGAATGTAACATAGCAAAGATGAATGCACTTTTGGAAGTTGAATGTAAGGGAAATGTCATTTTGAAATTTCTGTGGTTTAATGTGATATTGTTGTTCATGATGATATTTTCTTTTATGTTTGTAATTAATTTATAGCATTAACAAGATGACCCGTTGAGTTCATTTTGGGAGCGATAACTGAATGAATGTATTTTTTGTCCAGTGCCTGCATATAAGATTAGTATTGACCAAGTTCAGAGGCTGCCATATGTGGATCAACTTACTATGTTGTGTATTTTCAACAGTTTCAATATGAAAAATAACTTTTATATTGATTCAATGGATTTATTGCATTTTGGGGGGAAAATAATAAAATTTTATAATAAATCTTTGAAACTCAAAATCTGGATTTGAATTTTTAATGTTATCATAACCTAAAAATGCTATGTGAAAGTTTGAAACAGAAAATAGTGGTTTTCATCTTGCCACTTTCTTGGTAAGAAAACACATTTTTACTCAAATTAATCAAAATGGATTTATTGCGTTTGAGAACCAAACTCTTCATTTATGTTCTTATATATAAAATATATACATATTTTTCTTAAATGTATACATGCATGTGTTTGTATTTATATATAGATATTAAATATTCACAGTATACACACATTATGTAAACAAAAACTTTTATTTTGGATGTGATTAATCGTTTGACAGCACTAATTAAAAATAATTAAATTCTTTAAATGCCTCGAAAAAATCATGGAAATGTCAACAAGTATTTAAGTATATTATTTAAAATATTTCTAGTTATGCTCAGCTTTGAGATATTTCTTTGGCTTGAAATTTTTACTTTGCAAATGTGATTTCTATTTAAATTGATTTTTTTAACATTGTTATCATTTAATCACAAACAATTGGAAGCATCATAAAAAAAAGTGGTTGGAGAAGACCTCTGTGTTTGTTCTACATGACCATCATGTTGAGATCACATTGACCATGGATGAAATATGCCTGTGATGTTGAATGTTGAAATATATCAATTTTTCGATTCTAGAGTTTCTTTTTTCTAGTAACTTCATACTAGGCTTTATTTTTAGATCCTAGAAATTTTATACAAGGCTTTGTGAAGTCAACATTCCAAGTTTTTCTTGACACTTTGTTTACCATTAGGTAATTAATATTATAAATACAATATTTTTACACTTTCACCAGTTTTGTTGTTTGTTTGTTTTTGCCTTAAAACCGGGTTTTGCCAAAAACATAAAAATTACATTTAAGGGTTGTTATTAGTTTTTATTTCAGTTCATTTTAATTATATTAATGAGATTATTTAATTATATTATTCCATTTTCATTTGATTGGGTCTTTTCTATTCATGCACATTTTTTGTTATCGCAGGTGGAGGTCTTTGATCTGCTGTTTGTCACCAGTGAGAGTAACTCATGTAAAACGTACGTGGTGCACTGCCAGGGCTGTGCTCGGAGATGCAGCCCTAACCTTGAGAACTTTGTGGTTTTAGAGCAGTACAGAATTGAGGACCTCACGCACGTGTGTGACCAGTTCACATTAGTAAGTCTCAAAGCCCTTACGCTGACCTTCTCTAGATCTCGTTTACATATTCATATGATTAATGGTCTCAGGTAGCAAGAAATGGGCATGCTTAATATCCTCTGGCTGTTTCCACAGGCCCCACCCCTGCCCTCCTCCTCAACTTGACGTTAACATTAACGGTTCTTCGGATAACACCCTGGAACGCAATGCAACGCATCTCTTTCTGATATTCAGGAGACCTGACCCAGTTCCACACCACTGGTTTCTGTAGCAAACCCCACAAGGCTGCTGGTTCTAAGCTGTGTGTCTATGCAACCTTGCCAAGCATGGAGTTTCGGCCCACCGGAGTGAAGTGGGATCGTCTCCATCTTCAGGACTGTTTCAGCTTGTTCAGCACCACTTCTCTTTGAAACACAAACTACAAATAGACTAATTGCTGAGGGAAAATGGTTTTGTGTATATACCACAAATGGCAAAATCACTCAAAACTACTGACTCTTCTTTTTTTTTAATTTGACTGTTTTTGTCTTCTGTACTTCATGTACAAGCTAATACATGATTTTCTTTCAATGTTATTTCCTATAAGTACTACCGTAGCTGGGCTTTTTTGTTCAAAATTTTCTTTAGGTAACAAAAAAGATACATTTGTAATGTGAATTTTTTTTATTTTTTTTAATATTTTTGTCTCTTTTTCTTAAGGAAAAAGTTAAGTTGGGGGGGGGTAGCCAAGTCACAAAGAAAAATGGGTTGCACATAGACTAAGGAATAAATTTAATTTGTGTTTTTTTTGTGTGTGTTAGTTCTAATCTTGTAAATTTACACTATTTATATATTTATTGCTTGAAAATATTTGTTGATGGAATGCTATTATTTTTTTTCAGAGTTCCTGCCATTAAATTTTATGGAGTAATGTCATTTTGAACATTTCTCTTTTTACATTTTCTATACATGAATTAAACTGCTTAGCAAGCATTGTACAGAAACATGAAGATTGATATGGTTTATGGTTTACTAATCAGAGTTGTCTTTGTAATTAAAATATTATTCTTTTGTGATGAAATTCCTTGTCTCGTCGTCTGTGACCGCCCCATCCTCCCCAACACACACACACTTAAGTGTTATATTCCATTTTGCCATACTGCCAGGTTCATACCTTTATGCCATCAGTAATGGGACTTAAAGGCATAGTCCACCTAAAAATCTAAATTCTGTCATTCACTCACTTTCTTATTATTCCAAACCTGCATGACCACCGCCTGCATAACACAAAATATATTTTGAAGAATCAAACAAATGGAGACCATTGACTTCCAATGGATGGACAAGAGAAGAAAACGACAGATTTTTAGTTTAAATATTTTCTATGTTCCACAGAAGAAAATAAGTCATACAAGTTTAGAAAATGTGAGGGTGTGTAAAAGTTGACAATTTTCATTTCTGGGTGAACTATCCATTTAGGTGTGTAGTTTTGGTCTAGAACCTGTCACTATTGAGGCATTCAGGATACCTATATCCATAGAGAGCGCTGCATGGCCTTAATGTCTGTAAAATGACTTTTGAGGTTTGGACAGCAGCAATTATTCTTTGCTCAGACTGAGATTGGTCTGCACAGATAGCAAGTGCACTGACGGCTTCTTTGGGAAGATGACCTGACTGCACATCATTAGGCACGAGCAGATTATTAATGACATGTTTCCAAAGTAAGATAAAACTCTGTGTGGCTGGAACAGTCTCACACGGAGGAGGTCTCTCGCAAGATCCACTGAGACAGGAGAAGACATCGAGGTGTTCTGGTAGCAAGTCTTCATCAGGAGGATATCCTGCAGGAAAGAGTGTAATGAATTCGGTATAACACATAGCACCAGTGTCCAGTAAAGCTAAACCATAATTACAAAAATAAAAAAAAAGATAACTTTGTTGAAAACAGTTGACATTCGTTGATGAATAGAAGACTTGAATTACATTTGAAACATGGATAAAGCAAGTTTGTCAGTGTAAAAAACTTACAGGTTGCTGCATATGTGACTAAGCCAAAACTGACCTTCCTGCAAGTCAATAACCCCTATGGTACTGGCATCCACAATGAAGACCCTGCTATCATCCAAGGTACCAAACATGTCCTCTGAGACTTTGGTGCAGAAGAGGCTGAACTGGAGGCTCTGGGTGATGTGAAGAAGCTGGTAAGCAATGTCTGCGCGGTGCTCCAGCGGAGAGGAAAACAGGCTCCTGAGTGGTTTGCTCCCTGCCCAGACCATCATCCTTCCGCTGGAGCCATGATAGCGGAGGAAGGGCCAGCCCTCCGTGCCTGGAAACATCTGTAGACAGAAAAGTCCGATGTATTGCTGAAAACAGGAAGCAGGCAATGCCAGTGAGTACATGTTCGTGTTCTTCATATATAGAGCTAGTATTGATGTGAAAGTTGTTTCCTCCACGGGGTGTTAAAAAATAATAATTGCGACTTTTTTTCGAGTTTATGTCTCGCAGTTCCCTAACTTTTTCAAGAATCGCACTATTGCCATTCTAACTTTATTTCTGAGTTTTTATCTGTCAATAAGAATTAATTAATCAATTGAAATAACAATGTTTGCAATTATGGTACGCTTTTATTCAAAGTGATTTACATTGTGGAGCCATGATAGCGGAGGAAGGGCCAGCCCTCCGTGCCTGGAAACATCTGTAGACAGAAAAGTCCGATGTATTGCTGAAAACAGGAAGCAGGCAATGCCAGTGAGTACATGTTCGTGTTCTTCATATATAGAGCTAGTATTGATGTGAAAGTTGTTTCCTCCACGGGGCGTTAAAAAAAAAAAAGTTCCCTAACTTTTTCAAGAATCGCACTATTGCAATTCTAACTTTATTTCTGAGTTTTTATCTGTCAATAAGAATTAATTAATCAATTGAAATAACAATGTTTGCAATTATGGTACGCTTTTATTCAAAGTGATTTACATTTTTATTTTGATCAGTGAAAGCAAGGTTTAAAAGCTCTGCCCCAGCGGTCTAAAAGCGCTGGTCAATGTCAAAATGACTGAGATGGTCAATCAAATTAGAGTAGGCGGGGTTTACGGCTGACGCGACCCGTCCGCCAGTTTAAAAGAACAGAACGCGAGGTAAGATTGTAGGGAAACATTTAATATTTGACAACTGTTTTACAATAGAAATGCGAAACTACTTGATTTTTTTCTGACACATGGCCGTTCTAAATTGAAAATTTTAATAGTTTGCTTAGCTATCATTTCCGAGATTCGTGTAGTTCCTAAATTAATGTTGACGAGGCAAGAAACTTTTGGACATACAAATAATAAGAGTTAATGTGTGCATGTTTTACAATATTAGTTGCAAACAGTTCAAAATGATTACTTCCTAACTAGAATTACACATAGAATTTCCTTTATCATTCGGTTTGTTTTCACTTTATAAATCAAATTGTGCCCCCAATGTTCAAGACATGGTTATGGCTGAGTTCATGCATTGGGAATGCCCTGGGAATCAAACCTATGACCTTGACATTGCTAGCTATGCTCAATTACAGCACAATGTGCAATATTCACTTATATTAGAAGGCTAGAAGGCTAGAAGGGAGACATACAGCTGCAGCTACATACAGCATAATTTCTGTCACACTGCACAACAATAATTTCTGTTTTTGCATTATTGTAAGGGGTAGGCATTGGGTTGGGGTAGGTGTAGATGTTAAAAGACAATCTAATAGGTAGACAATTTAATTTATTGTTAGTTTCTGGCCGTAGCTGTATCCCTTCTAGCCACAACCACTTATTGTTATACCTGCAGTATGAGAGGTTGTTGATTGACAGCCAGGGTATAAAGAAGTCTGAGTTTGTCCTTTTCACTGAAGTGCTTCATCTGCACACTTCCCACATCAGTCACTTCAAAGTAACGTCACACGATGCGGTCCAGCAGCCTCTGAGATGGATAGTGCAGCATCGGGGTGACCAGACCCTAGAAAAGGAGTTTTGATTTAAAGGGGTCATATGATGCGATTTCAATTTTTCCTTTCTCTTTGGAGTGTTCCAAGCTCTTGGTGCATAAAGAAGATCTGTAAAGTTGCAAAGACTAAAGTCTCAAATCCAAAGAGATATTCTTTATAAAAGTTAAGAGTCAACCACGCCTACCTAAAACGACTCGTTCTAACACGCCTCCACATATCTTATGTTTTATGTTTATGCGGCGCGATGCAATGCAACACGTAAAAAGACAGTATAAGTCATTATAATCCGTAATTATGTCCCCACTGGATGCAACGAATGCCTCGTTTATTATGGGTTTTAATGTTTTTGTCTCGTTGCTCTCTTGGTGCATAAAGAAGATCTGTAAAGTTGCAAAGACTAAAGTCTCAAATCCAAAGAGATATTCTTTATAAAAGTTAACAGTCAACCACGCCTACCTAAAATGGCTCGTTCTAACAAGCCCCCACATATCTTATGTTTTATGTTTATGCGGCGCGATGCAATGCAAAACGTAAAAAGACGGTATAAGTCATTATAATCCGTAATTATATCCCCACTGGATGCAACGAATGCCTCATTTATTATGGGTTTTAATGTTTTTGTCTCGTTGCTCCGGCCTGACAAGGCATCACAGTATGGTAGGGGCGTAACATTTCCGTCACACGCTTGAGGTATTCGGCCAATCACAACGCACTGGATAGCTGGCCAATCAGAGCACACCTTGCTTTTCAGACCGATGAGCTTTGTAAAAATCGATGCGTTTCAAAAAGGCGGGGCATAGAGGAGAAACAGTAATGTACTGTATGTGGAAAATAATGTGTTTTTTGAACCTTAAAACGCATAAACACATTTCATTACACCAAATACACAAAATAATGTTATTTTAGCAACATCATATGACCCCTTTAAGTTTTCAAATGTGATGTATAGTGTTTCTTCAACTGTGGGTTTGTTCATTTTGAACTTTATTTAAAGCAAAATGGTTTGTTGTGGGGGGAAATTACAGCTGTAATTTAGAAATGGAACATAAACATAAAAGTGCCCAAAGTTGAAGACACACCCGTAAAACATAAGTCGTTTAAAGTTTGGCTACAAAGGAAGAAATACAATTGTTACCTTCATTTTCACCAAAGCTTTGCTTTAAGACCCATTGATAATCGAGAAATAATTTGCCACACTGTAAGTGCTAAATTGGCACCTTCTAGTTTTCAAATTAATAATCCTTTGAAATTTAATTGTTCAGACCTTAAATCCTGAGCCACTGCTGACCTCAAACAGACATCAGAATACAGAGACCGAATGCAGACCTTCACCATGCTGGGAAGCAGTAGGTTGGAGCGGACCCAACTTGGAAGCGTGAAGTGGCCCTGAGGACAGCTTCAATGCTGCAGGATTTCCCTTTGCCTGCTGAGGTGCAAATGCTATTGTCTGATATCTGGTGCAGGTGAGGAGACATCACATAGGACAGCACCACAGGTCTCCAGCCCGCTGTGCTGTCTGTATAGTTTCCCTCATATGAGCGCACATCTGCTGAGGAGAGATTAGACTGAGCAGTCAGCCATCTTTCAAACCTGCGATGAAATAATCAGTGTCCACGTTAGCTTCCTGTTTTTGCTTTCATTGCTCATGCTCACTCAGATCAATGATTAGATATTGTGAGCTGCACATTTTGAAAACAATTTTGATGTAGAAAAAGGCAGCTTTCTATTGATGTTTTATTTTCCGATGGCATGCAGTGCTCTTATTTGAATAGATTTATATGTACGAGCAGAAAATTATTTAACCCTGAATATAGTACCTGAATGTAGTATATTAGGTCAGTGAAGACATTCATATAGAAAAAGCAGAACTTTACTTCAATATTTGGACATGGGATACCTTGTTCCAGAGATCCTAGTATACATCTCTTTAAAACCTCTCAATAAGGACAAAGAAAAAATATTTTTCTGTATTAATAGTAAATATCCTATAGTTTACCTTATTTAATCCTTGAAAAACTTGCAAATGGATGTTCCAATGCAGGCGTTGCATTTATCCAAACCCAAGAAGACTCTTCTGAAGTCTCTTGGGGTGCTGGTGAGGGGTCTGGAGTACCAAATGCCAATATGA